GCGGCTGGTGGCCGGGCACCCAGCTCTGACGGCGGAGCAGAGAGCAGTGGTTTCCGGCCAGGCACCCAGCTCTGACAGCAGAGCGGAGAGCAGCGGCTGGTGGCCGGGCACCTAGTGCTGAAGACAGCACCGTGCCAGCAGCAGCACAGAAGTGAGGGTGGCGATGTGAAAAGTGGTATTTGTCAATATCTCTCTTCTCAGCAGACTTAGTGCCCCACTGCCACCCTTACTTCTGTACTGCTGCCTCCCGGGGCTGACAGCTGCCTCCTGGTGAGGGACTGAGGGCAGGGGAAGGAGAGCCCATGCCCAGGCTGCCTCCCAGTGAGGGACTGTGGAGGGGGAGAAGAGCCTGAGCCCGGGTTGCCTCCTGGAGAGAGATTGGGTGGGGGGAGGAGAGCCCGAGCCCGGGTTGCCTCCCGGTGAGAGATCGGGGGGGTGGGGGGGGGAGAAGAGAGCCTGAGCCCGAGCCCGGGTGGCAGGATTCTAGCTGTCCCCTTTATCCCTCCCTCCTGGGTGGGCACGGTCTTCTGCACGAGCCCCAGCCACCCAGGGCTGACAGCCAGAGATCTTAAATAAAAGAAAAAAACCACTCAGCTCGCGCCTCCCTTGACACATTCCTGTGCCTCCCTTGTGAGGCCCACCTCATAGTCTGAGAACTGCTGCTCTAGATCTTTGTCTGACATCTCATCTGAAAGACAGCTCCATCCACCAGTGCAGAGCCCCCTACCATCGTACTGCGGCACTGGTTCAATACTGATTTCAATATCCTAGGGAAGAGTCTTACTGCTTCACTCTGGTAATACAATTCTGCCTCCTCAAAAGGGAGGCAGTATTACCTAGGGGTTAGAACAAACAACCTGCGTTCCATGCCTAGTGCTGTCACTACATTGTTGTGTGACATCAGGCATGTCACGCCGCCATTCCCTGCCTCAGTTTTCCCAACAGTTAAATGAGGAGGTTACACATCCCAAAGTGGCACTGTGAGATTTGATGTTTGTAAAGTGCTTTGAGAAGGCACTGGAGAAGGGCAAAACACTATAAATTCTCCTGTAGTTCCAATTGGAGACAGGGCTCTTCACTTCCTGTCCTAAAGTGTGGTGTGGTGCAGCTGTATACTGTAAAGCTGCGGTTGGGTTTTACCCCAGAGGTGGCTGCATTTCAATGTGGAGTGCAGTGATCCTTGTGTATAGAATGCATAAAGCCCCTTGAGATCCTCTGGGAGGTGCCAAGCCTGTTACTGCAAATCAGCTACTGGCATTGTGCTTGTAGCTGAGGCTACACACCTCTTCTCCACAAAATCTTTAACCGTTCATATTGACCAACCACACACACCTGGATGGCCGGGACGAGCGTGAAATAACCAATCAGGATGATCCCAAGCTCTGTGGCCATGTTCTTCATAATAGACCAGCTCTCATTGCTCAAGCCTAGAAAACAAAACATGCTAGTGATTAGAACAGGGGACTGGTGCTCAAGCCTCCTGAGTTCTAGTCCTGCCTCTCTGTGTGTGACCGTAGAAAAGGCTTTGTCCCTCAGCTTCCTCACCTGTAAAAGGGGGATAACACTCTGAGATCCAGACAGAAGGTACAGAGCCTCATTATGTATTATTATTACTGGAGACAGGAAGTTTCTGAGGTTAGAAAAAATTAATTTCCTTTACTCAGCTACCCAGAGAGACCAACCTTTGTAGACTAGGGAGCTCTGGGCCACAGCCAATCCACCAAAATATGGGCGAGCCCCTCATTTTTGTCCATCCCTCTATAAAGGGAGCACAACGCTTTGAATAATGTGCAAGGGATCAAGCTAAATTCTTCACATGGTTTTTGGCTGATAACGTGCTCAAGTGCGAGCCATTCTGACTGCTTGCCAGGAGCCCGACAGCTAGCCTGAACATGCATGGAGCAGCCTGCCCTCGCTTTCCTACTTAATACAGAGCACCAGTCGGCACAGACTGTTGGACTATCTCAGCATGCAATGCTCCACCTTGAGCTAAGCAGCCTGAGTGCATTGCATGCTGAGCTATGTAGCCCCCACGGGGCGTAGCGCCATAGTAAAGACATAAACCTGTCGTAGAATCCCATGGGGCTGCATGAGGCCTGTAGGCAGCACTTTAGCCATTCATGCTCTGAGAATACGTGGCACGGCCATCCCCGTGTCAGTGATTCTTTCACAGCAGCTTACGTAGCATGGAGGAACCATGTCTGTGTTCCAGGCTCCCAGTGACTAGGGAACCCCTTGATGGGCTTACAGGAACTCCTGGGCTTGACAAGCAACAAGCTGAAGTGGCCATTAGACCCAGAGTGCAGAACACACAGCTCCCACATAACAGCATCTTGGCCCAGGGCTGCTTCACGCCCTCTCGCAGGCTAAGAATTACAATCACTCCCCTCTGGGGCCAGAGCGAATGGGAATTTCCCCCCTTGCCAGAGCGAGACGGATGTACCTTGTGCGATCCTCAGTTTCACTTCCAGGTCGACGGGCGTGGAGACGACCGATTTGGTAAGAACCAGCACATTCTCCAGGCCAATCACCACCACCAGGTACGGAAAAATCTCCCTAGGAAAACAAAGCCAAGTGTGAGAAACAAGGGAGCACCCAGGCGCCCTTCAGCCTAGTGCAGGGCAGGGCAGGTTCCGGGCTCTCATTCGATACACCAGCGAGCTGCAGTATGGGGCCCTCTCACACCCTGCTCTTCTGGGACCAGGCCAGAGGTTGTACAGTGTCTGGTTCAGACAGACGGTAACGTTTCGGCAGTGCTGACTATGTTGCTACAGACTGGCCATTACGTGCCATTCTAACGTTAGATTTAAGCTCACCGGGGCAGGGACAGCGCCCTTCTGGGTGTCTGTACGGCGCTAGCACAGGGGGCCCTCAGCCAGGGTCAGAGCTTTGAGCACTACGGCAAGTAAATGAAAATAAGCAAGTTGGGGAGGAGTCAGACCCAGCCGCCAACACAAACCCCACTGACGAACCTCAGGCAATCCTTGCACTAATCAAACCAAACCACTGCAGAGAGAGTCAGGGGATGGGGGGGAGGGCAGATGCCCATGGGGAGCAGGTTCCTCACCCTACAGCTGCTACTACACAGATTCAGCTCTGCTCACTGTGGGGGAACTCCCTGGAGCGAGCCTGTGCTGAGAGCGCAGGGGGAAGCTGTGCAGGACAGCGCGAGGCGGATGGAGGCTGACGGAAGAGGACAGCCTGGCCTATCCTACAGGAGGGGGGGTCAAAGGAGGGGAGTGCCAGCTGGACGGGCACTGAAGGCCCAGCAGTGGGGTTTCCTAACACCGACCTTCCCGCCACTGAACGACATCCCTTCAGCCTGTCTGATGTCACTCTGTGGTGATCAGCGAGTGCTGCTGAGCTCCGGTGGCCCTGGAGACTGAAGCCCTCTGATCACAGACCAGCTGGAGCCCGCGCTGCACCGACTCGCTCTGCCCGGCTGCACTGGAGGGGTCATGTCATACCCGGGCCTCCCTGCTCAGCCTATCAGCTAGCCCTCTGGGGGGATAGGTGTGCAGCGACATGGACCTCCAGAGCTCACCACTCCTTTCCCACAGTGAGTGCTGGCCTTTGGTCACCGGCCAGTCGTGGAACTAGTGACCTAGAGTGCAAGGCTCCGTGGCCCATGAGCCCACCGGTCCCCCTTGCGGCCTTTCTAAAGGCCGGTAACATCATGAAACTCCAGTGCCCTGACCCAGCTCCAGCATGAGCAATTACAATCCTGTCTAGTGAGGAAAGACATCAGCTTCTGGGAAGATTTCTCTCTTCCCCTCCGCACTAGGGTGCCTAGACAGCTACCACGGTGGGCTGGGAACAGGTGGGGCAGCGCAAGGAACCAATGACACAGTACGGATCACCACGAGTGTCGCTGCACGACAGCAGGCAGTAGCATCCTGGCAGAGGAGCGTTTTGAGGCCGGGCTTGAGGGAAGACAATGAGTTCGTTTTTCCAAAACAACAAGACTTTCCCTGGCCCCTGCTGGGGCTCCCGTCACCCCTCCCTCCTACCGCCACTATTCTCTGGGCTGCTCACAGCGGCCGGGTTGGCTCTGTTCAGGGGAAGCAAATAGCTGCTCCAAGCATAGGGCCAGTACCCAGGATTTGCTGAGCATGGCAGGTTCCAGCTACCTCTCCGCCACCACCAGCCAGACTCATTCACAGACATCGATCTCTCTTGTGGGGGCTCAGAAGTCCGTGCCCCAGAGGCGACTGCTGCATTACGATCACTGGGCTTGTGTGGCACGGAAAGGGGGTGGGCAGGATGGCGAAGCAGCAGCAGGCAGGATGGCTAAGCGACGGGGCTGGAGGCAAAGCAATCCGGGGGGAGGGGACGGATAGCTCAGTGGTTTGAGCATTGGTCTGCTAAACTCAGGGTTGTGAGTTCAATCCTTGAGGGGGCCGTTTAGGGATCTGGGGCAAAAATCTGTCAGGGGATTGGTCCTGCTTTGAGCAGGGGGTTGGACTAGATGACCTCCTGAGGTCCCTTCCAACCCTGATATTCTATGTGTGGAGCCCAAAGGACCAAATGCTGCCCTCAGTTACCCATAAGAAGCTGCCACTGGCTTCAGCGGGAGCCACACACGTGTAACTGAGGGCAGAACAGCTTCCTCCTGTCGTCCTCCTCCCCCCTGCAAGGTCAAACACTGCATTTAGGGAACCAAGGAGTCTGGCACTGATGGCAGCTCTGCTATCTCACTCCAACTGATCCATTAAACAAACACGGCAAGAGGAAGCCGCACCGGCTCCTTTTCCAAACAAGAGCAAAGCCACAACCTCTCCCTGGGCTGCCCGGCGGCGCTGGCTGCTCTCATCCAAGCTGCCAGCGAATGGAAGTGAGGCAAGCGTGGCAACTGAGCTCCCAAGTAGCAGTGGCGTGATCCAAAGGGCCCCGGCCCACTGGCCAATGAGTTGTGCCAGGAGAGGAGGACGCTGCACTCATACCAGATCAGCTGAGGGAGCCGCAGGGGCGCGTCCATAGCGTGAAGGTCACGGTGCGGGAATCACACAGGCACTGGCTAATGCCCTCTCAATGGTTGCATAAGAAAGTGATGCAAGTATTAAACAGGGAGGGAGGGAGAAAGGTGCAGGGTCTTCACAACCCTCTATCTATCATGACATAGCTACCCAGTGCGTGGGGGGAGGGGGTTGTATAACACATTTCCTCTAGTGCGTTCTCCCCTCCCCCTTTGTCCCCACCCCCAATGCAGAACCACAGCCCCCACTACAAGCTGCACCTCCATTCTGCAGCCAGGCCCCCTGGATTCTGTGGCACCCCAGACTAGAAATTGTGGGGCAGCTCCATTGTAAAGTGCAGGTTTTATTGCATTCGTTAGGAAAGCGGAGGAGGCACTCAGCTCCTGCGTTACTGAGCTCCCCAGTGAATCCCATTTACTCTATGCTGGCCCCACTTTTGCCGTTTCTCAACGTGCTGCCGAGTTTTGCATCAACACCACATAACTCCGTCACAGAAGCTGCCAAGGGGAAGCAGAAGGTTGTAGCAGTTGAGTAGGGATAGCTGGGACTTCGCCCATCTGGAAAGCCTTGGGAAGCAGAGTAGGGCGATGGGAGAAGCACATGAGCTGTGTTTCTGCTAAAAGGATCAGCAGTTAAACAGCAAACACTGGCAATTTTAACAGTTACCATCTTCAGCACGTCAGAGTCAACAACAAATTGAAATGAACTGGGCACTTCACAGCTCTCAGAGCCTTGTTCCAGGTTGCCTGCAGATTTCCCTGCTCAGTTCAATTCAGGTCACGCTTTTCTGGTGATCTTCACACCATAAGGGCTAGAACTATCTTTTGTTTAATTAAAGCTCTGATTCTAGAGCAGACACTGTGGCTGGAGGTGGATTCGGTGGCAAATTCCATGTCTGAAGAATCACAAACTACAAGCAGCCTTGCAGATAACGGAGAGGGAAAAGGGCTGGAAAACAGCTGTGTTATCACTTTCTCTCTTAACGTTTGTAACATGACCAGGGGAAAAGTTAATCTGAATTGTCACAGATCCCTAAAACATCCCCTCAAGCCCGCTTTATAGCCTCCTCTGGATGCCCTACGCGGCTAGAGACGGCTGTCTCTTTAGAAGTCTGCAGTCACACCACCTCGGGCTGTGGTCTTGACAGATCTCACAAGCTAAGTTGGGCCAGTACTGGGACAGGAGACTTCCCAGGAGGAAACCTCCCGGAAACGCTATTGGGGATTCAGTCGGAGGCGCTCATTCCTCGGACTCTGGACTAGACAGTTACCCCAGCATGTTGTTACAGATGCTGTCTTCAGAGAAGTCCCAGATCCTAGCCATTCATGGTTCGTCTTAAAGATCTCACAGCATTTTTTTCCCCAACAAAGGTGTTAGCCCTGGTATCCTGGCCTAATTCAAACTCAAACAATTATATTTTGCCTGCCTACAGTCCCTTTGTAGTTTCAGCTGGATATAGCACTCTCTTCACTTCCTGGCCAAAGCTGCCATGTAGGAATTGCATTTCACTGGTGAAACAAATACACATACCCAGAGATCACTTCTGGGCAACTTCCTGTCGAAAGAGACCACCTCAAGAATCCTCCAGTCCAGCAAGTACAGCTCGGCTCATCTTTATTAGAAGACCCTGCCATTAACCAGTCAAATTCTGACAGTCCCCTGAGTGGTCATTTAAGACCCAGGGCCATGGGTGAAAAAAGCACTATGGGATGGAAAGTGCTGGAGAGAGAGAGAGAGAGTGACAGACAAGAGACGTCTGCTGTGTGGCAGCCCTGCACAGAATGTAACTAGCGAATGTTTGTTGTGTGGATTCTATGATCAACCTTCAAGGTCATTGGTAGGTAGTGGAGACGAGACAAAACTCAAACCCTCTCATCAGCCATGTCCTTGTTAGCCAGCCGCCCCCACTGCTTCAGAAGGTACAAACTGATCACCACGCTGCAGGCTCGCAGATGAAACAGATCACTGAGCTATAGAGCTGTCAGGACGTTTAATACTGTACATGAGTAAGAATTTCAAATCCAAGGAGACACCAGCTTCTCTTGAAACAAGGGCTGGGCATGTGCTGCACAAACACAAGCTGTTTGCCTCCTACAACCAAACCATACAAATACAAGTTCAACAGTCCCCATCTGTGCTGAGACACTGCGAAGGATACTGCTGTTACTGTCTGCCACAATGAGGCAATCACCGAGAAAGGGACTGAAACAGGAACAGGGGGGGGGGGGGGGGGGGGGGGAAGGGGTGCCATGCTTATGCATCTATCGAGGCATTTATCCTGAGCTCAGCACCTTGATGTCAGAAGGTGCTGCATTAGGGTCTGCTCCATCACCCAAAGAAGCCAATGGAAACACTCCCATTGCTTCCTGGTTTCTGGAAAACATTCAGGGAGACGCCCAGTGATTAGAGCAAGGGGGCTCCCAGACTCTCCTCCCGGCTTTGCCAGTGACTCTTTCGGACCCCTGGGGCATGTCAGTTCACTCCCTGTGCTTTGGTTTTCTGATCTGTAAAGCAGGGATTATGCCTCCCTCCTATTATTATTCTAGCTCGTTAATATTTGCACAATGTGCCTTGAGATCCTCAGATGAAAGCTGCCCTTGCAGGGCAAAGAGTGCTGATAATCTATGGCTGGTATATAGAATGGTTATTAGCCAGGGTGGGCAGGGAGGGTGTCCCTAGCCTCTGTTTGCCAGAAACTAGGAACGGGCAACAGGGGATGGATCACTTGGTGATTCCCTGTTCTGTTCATTCCCTCTGGGGCACCTGGCATTGGCCACTGTCGGCAGACAGGATACTGGGCTAGATGGACCTTTGGTCTGACCCAGTGTGGCAATTCTTATGTAATCCTAGGATCTGTGTACTGCCCTCCAAACAGCATGCTTCATGATAGTACTGTACAAAACCAAAGCGCTAGAGACCCGAAATAAGTAAAGGCTCTACTAAAACTCTCCCCTCCAGTAACCCTGCTGCAGAAACAGGTCGAGTGAAAGCTTGACCAAACAAACAGGGCTGACATGGCATCCTGAAGCTGGCCAAACACAAGCTCCGGCACACTGCCAGAGGGTGCAGGTTCCCCCGGGGACACCTCGCCACCAGGCCTGGAAAGCTACCCCTCATGATCAGCAGGAAGAGAACCCCAGCAGATGGTAAGGGTCCAAAGGGACACAGGGAGAGAGGTGATCTCTCAGGTAGCTGGCTCTCAACCCACCCCTGCCTATCCGCACCACTTCCATCTCATCCAGACCAAGCCAGCTGGCTCCCATCATGTCCCCACCTCTGAGAGGTGCTGGGAAAGGAGAGACCAGAGCATCAGCGCTTGATGAAAGGAAGAGAGATCCTACTGCCTTTCAAATACTGAAGGGTCCAAGTGCCTCCCTATCTCCCCTTGCAGCCCTATGCACATGGGAGACAAGATGGATCCCTGTGGGACCCCTCCCTGTGAGAGCCCTTGCAGAGAGAGGAGTCTATGCCCATAACCTCCATCTGGCATCTGTCCAAGGAGGAGTTAACCTGGGGAAGGACCTCACCTAGCCACTCCCACAAGAGGCCAACAAAACCACCCTGCTCAGAGAGATCGGGGGCTGCCACCAGACCTAACAAAATGGGTTACATGTGTCCCCTGCAGGAGGACCCCATCCTCCGTCCCTCACAGTCAGGTCTCTGTGGTAAGCCTACCTTTGAAACCAGACTGTGGGGGTCAGGAGTAGGCAGGGAGTCAAGAGGTGCCGGCGGCTGCTCCAGCATGACGAGCGGGTTCGAGACTGGACCACAACGTACCAGGCTGTTATCATCACGAGCGAAGCAGAAGAAATGAGTTCTGAGTGCAGTGAGGCCCGTGAGCCTTCTTAGCTCTTGTGGGAGGAAGTTCCTCAGGCGAGAGCTGGCTCCTGAGAGTGCTGTCTCCTGCGCTCCCCAGCCTCCCCCGTTGGCTGGCAGCGTCACTGGCCCAGGGGAACGCAGCTGGCAAGGGGGGTGGCTGTGCTGGAGGGAGAGGCGATCTCTCAAGTGGCCTTCGACAGAGATCTTGACCTGGGTGCTGTGGTCAGTGGGAAGCCTACGGCGAGCGAGCACCTGGGTGATGCGCTCACAGGGCCCTGTGTTACTTAGCAGAAAGGCTGCTGAGCTTTGTGCCTGGTGGAACCTTTCCAGAGCATGCAGCTTCCCACCTCAGTACAGCCAAGTGCAGTACCCCAACCTGGCGGTCACCCAACGCCTGGAGCGAAACACACATGGACACCTCCCCACTCAAGGGAAGAGTCAATAATCCCCACCAGTAACGGCCCCAAAGCCTCCCTGCTAGTCCCCATCAGCCACGAGTGCCGGGTTCCTCCAACCTCACTGAGCAAAACGCAGAGAACCTCGGCCAGGGAAGGCAAAGACACACAACCTCCTGCCCTGGGCATCGGTCTGATTCAGAGCAGGCTTCCTCCCATCGGCATGCCAGCCATGGTGACTGGAGCAGGAAGGGGCTGCCTAGGTGCCAAGCTGCTGATGTTTAGGGAGAAAAGACGGATACTAATCCATCAGCAGTGAGGTGTGACGGATGTGCAGCAAAATGTCCCCATGAGGCCAGGAGCCATCCGGTCCATCAGTGTCCTGGGGAAGCAGGGCTAAGCAATGTGGAAAGTGATCAGCCAACGAAAGTGGGCATGGTTAGAAAATCCTCGATCCTGGACACAAAGGGCTAAGTAGCTGGCATCAGACAGGTTAGCATCCACCCTCCCTTTGCCCCTTCTTTTAGCAGGAGGCTCTTATTTCTGGATACCTACCCTCCGTTGAGAGTAGGCGTCAGGCCAAACAGCGTGCACAGACCCACCGACATGAGCAGAGAACTGAGCACCGTCACAACCGCGGCCAGGGCCAAGCCCCATTTCGACTTCACCATGTCAATCTTCCCTGCGAGAGAGAACACGAGGCTCACATCACTGGGGGAAAGCCAATGCCAACCCCCCCGTCATGGGGAGTGGATCCACGGGCTCATTCATTTCAACAGGCAGCGCGCTAGCCAGGGTTGGTAGTGGTGGGTTCAAGGCCTTGGGCGCCTGGCTGGTGCTGACCTAGCAGCACAGAACTAGAGAGGCACGTTCCAGCCAAAGGACACAGCAGAGAGCAACGCAGGGGTGGGCCACAGACTCTCATTCCAGATACAGGACGGCCCAGGGATGTGTGAAAGGAGCATACGTAACCTCACATCAGTGGCAGGTCCTGACAGCACAACCGCAGACTGTATGTGGGATCTTTCTAGCCGTGGGCTGATCCCCCAGAAGAAGCGGGGCATGTGCCATCACATGGGGCATTTAGAACTGAACAGGTCAGAGCCCTGTAGGATACGCCACAGGGAACAACCCTGCACTGGCTCAGGGAATGGAATAGCTGAAACCTAATAGGGCCTCGTCCCCTCCACGTCCTAGTTCTATGTCCCAGTGGGATTTCAGCTTCACCTGGCTGCAGGAGTGATAGGAGACTGCAGCACTGAAGGTAGGTGCTTTGCCCTCCCTACACGTGGGGCAGGGTGTACTGCGCCATCAGGCCCGTGGGGCCCCCTCTGCTGTGAAGCCCATGGACGGGGCGCTCGCCCTCCCTGCTCCCCACAAACCTACGTGTGGAGAAGTAGATGTAAGCGAAGAGGATGATGTAGGTGGTGACAAGGGGGATCAGCTCAGCGATGCCGATCTCCTCTTTGAAGTGGACGTGGACAACGTGCTCCTCCCGCAGGGTGCAGTTGGGGCTAGGGTGCAGCAGCTTCAGCCGGGAGCGGAGGCTGGTGAGGAACCTGGCACGGGAGAAAGGCAGAAGGACGTGACCCTGGTGCTGTGCTGTGCACCTAACACACTCCTCAGAGGAGGGCCCGGGGGCTGCAGCCAGCTGGGAACATGGCTCTATAGATTTACGCAATGCTCGGCAACCAAGAGCAAGGCCAGCTCTGCCTGTCTAGGTTTTGCACCTCATTCCTCGCCGGTGTATCACCAAGTTCCCCTGAGATCTACAGCGTTCCTGCGGAAGATTCAGAGCGGGGAGCTGCAAGACCTCATTAAAGGTGTTTAGAGAAGGGGGTTGGGGTTTACCAAGAACTCTGGCTCTGGGGGATGGCGCGTGTTGTAGATTCAAACACGTTTCCTGTTGCAGGTGTTTGGTAAGTAGTGCTGATGAATGATGCTAATGGACAGGCCTGGAGATGGGAGGCTTCTTTCCCCCATGCACAGCATGGGCAGCAGCAGGGCAAACTTCCACCGGCCGGCCTGCCAGGCTGCCCTGGGAGAACCAAGCGGAGGAGGGAGAGGAGCATTCGCTCTCTAGTCCCATTCAGTCCGTGCCCTCTCTGATGAGACAGCCAACAAGGGAGCCAGTTACTGCCAACCAGGATGGTGCTCACTGGGATGCAGAACCCCATCCATCAGGAGCTGGACTGAAGCAAACTCCCCAGGCCAACCAGCTGCCACCAGGAAGGCAACGACTCCACTTACTACAAATATGTGTTGAAAAGACGACTGTGATTGTGGGCAGGGGCAGCCATCAGCAGAGGAATGCTGGGGTGTCCTGGGTTTTTTTAAAGAGACAGTGCTGTGTGTCTAGTGGAGACAGACAGCTTTATACTGATGATGATAATACTCTGTGCTTCTATAGTGCCTTCCCTCTGAGGATCTGACCGTGCTCTGCACAGCTCTATCCAGAACAGTGAAAGGACAAATAAGGAGAACCAACCAGCTTCCCAGGAGATGAAGACGGGAGCCCAACAGGCAGGTGACCTGACATGGGAGTAGCAGAGCCAAAGCGCCTTACCTGGAATCATATCGCTGGAGAGCTAGAGTGACAGTGTAGGACACCACCCGCTTCCTGTTGTACAGGTTCACGCCGCTGTACTTCCCCGGGACTCCGAACAAGAGATCTGCAAACGCAATGGGAGCAAAACACCATGAGCCTGGACAAAGGTCACTGAGGGACGATGCATGAGTGTTCATCACCAGATAGGCAAGGATGCTGGAAAACCACGGCCCACATTATTACAGGGGCTGCCAGGTCCCCACAGAGCAGGCAGGGCCTTTGCCTTCCAGGGCTCCCCCAACCCCATGTCCCTACCACCACACACAGTAAAATGGAACTTCAGTCACCTGCCTTGGGAGAGAGCAAAGACTGAGTGAGGTTTGCAGCTGTGGTGTTTTGAGGTTGTGCTCCGACTGTTAAGCCTGGCCTCCTCTACTCAATCTAACTAGTACAATGCTGACCCCATGCCATTGCTGTGCACACTTACACATCCACGCGCTACAGCAGCACATTCTCTGGGAGTGTGTGTTTGTGTGTATGTTCGTTTTCTGCTTGGGAGAAGGTAAGGTCCCCAGGGACGGAGTCCTGTCTTCCTTTGGGGTGTTATAGTGCTGAACACATTCTGGGTACTGAACTGGGAAACCTTTTAATCAACAAGTCTTAAGGCTCCAATGCCCCTCGTTAGGCAGGAGGGTCCTGACCTCAACTGAATCCCCTTATACAGAAAGGAGTGAACAATCCTCTAACTCTGTGGAACCAGGGAGCAGCATGACTTCAGACATGGCCAGATTCCTTATTCTAATTAAAGCAAGAGACTTTCATTGCCACCAGATGCCCACTTGAGGATGAGCCCCGTGGGTCACTCCAGGCAACGACCAATGAAAGGACAAGAGGGAGCACTATGAACATTGACTCCTCACCTATGACAATCCCCCCACCCCCTGCCTTTAGGCAGCGCAGCCGGTGCTGTTCTCAGAGCAACCAGAAAGAGACAGGGTGGGAGAAAGCAGCATGGTTAGATCAAAGGGTGTGGGGGGGTTGTTGGCTATACACAGATGTTCTCTCTCTACCCACAGGCAGCAGGCTGATGGGGTTAGAACACCCACTTTTCACCTCTGGAGGGCTGGGTCCAAATCCAACTTAAAACCCTGGGTGGAATGAGTCTGGTGGCCTCATCCCAGATTCTGTGTGAGGTAAAAACCACTGCTCGATTTGGCATTGCTGGCAATCGGCTCAGGAGAGACCTGGGACTGGAACAGCAGAGCAGGGATAAGGCACTTCTCCCAGCATCTGCACCACTCAGCCGCCTACCTTTGAGGGTAGCTGATGTCTGCAGTGTCTTTGGTTCGTGCTGGTGGATAGTTTTGATGATATCAGGGTCGGAGTTAAAGCGCTCTCGGTCATTCTGCCAGAAGTTCCCTGGAGACAGCAGGAGGCAGCCATGTTCAGGTAGCAGGTCTCGCAGCTTCTTTAAGCTGGGCAGGAGGTCTGTCACCTGAAGGCAGACTTCCTCCAAACTTCTGATCCCAGAACTGAAAGACAGGTAGAGACCAGAAGCTGCAGCGTGTGTTATGATTTTCACAGGCAGCTCATCTCAGAAAGGCAACGCACCCATGCACTCCTGAGCTCTAATTCTCACTCACTACGCGGCTTGTGAACGCAAGATTTCAAAAGCCTTCACTGATTCTGGGGGCCTCAGTTCTCAGCACCCAACTTAAGACTCTCAGGGCCTCATTGTCAGAAGTGCTGGGCACCTGCGGGTAACTAGCTTTAGTCGGAGTTATGCATGTTCAGCGCTTCTAAAATCAAACCCAAGGAGTGGAAACTCTTGAAAACTTGGGCCTCAACCTCTCTGCCTCCTTCTTTCCCCATTTGCTAATGGGGGATGATAATACAAACCTCCCTCAGTATTTCCCGCATGGATTAGTTAGGGGTCACACAGGCTCTGAAGTGTGTGAAGGACACAGCAGGAGTAAAACTGTTCAGCACAAACAACTCAGCAAAATCTTCTCCGAGCTCCTCTGTGGTGCACAGCGAAGGGAATGCCCCCAGCCGTGTGAACTTGTGGGGCAGCAGCGCCGCCCTGCAAGTGATACATGGCTTGGATGGGTTGGCGTTTCCAAACTGCAGGCACAAGCCTGCAGCCCTTGCTTACGGGACTCTCCTCACAGGAGTACAGGCTGCAAGACCAGGCCTCAATTTCAGAGCACCTGTCCCAGCATTGCAAAGTGCTGCTCTCCCCGTGGGTAAAGCTGTGTGAACTCATGTTAACGTCCGGCTTACACTAACATTCACAGTAAAGTGATGCTTGTTATAGAAGTTCAAGCCTTGCTTTCTATGCTTACACAATCCTTTGATACCCACTAACAAATCAGATATGCATCCGACTTGACCCAGCCTGGGCCTCACTGGCACTTGTCCTAGTGTGCAAGGCCCAGTGGCAGACTGGCTGCCAGGGCCAGGGTTGGCTAGCATTGCCCAAAAAGAGAGCACTACTTCCCTGTGAGTGAGCACAGACAAGGCAACTGGCAGGATCTAGCATAAAATCCATGTCCAGCCGCAGAGCCACACAGCAAAATCGAGGCTTTCACTTCAGAAAAAATTACATTTCTAGTCCTCCTGGAGGCAAAGACAACCTTCTGCATGGGCACTGACGTAGTGAGGCCTGCCTGAGTCTGCAGAGAGTTTGGAACAGCTCTGGAAGATGTCAGAACTCTGCTCTGTCCCCTCAGTCAGGCATTGACTCTGAAACCTAATGGTGACAAAGTTCTTGTCAACAGTATTCACTATGTCATCCCGGATCAGTTTAGCAGGTATATATGGCTCACATGCTTCTCTCTAATGCCAGATGCAGTGATAGAGATTGGGACAGGGGGCAATGGAATGGCTAGCTGCCCTCAAAGCTGCTGGGGTCTGGAATTAGGTGTTCAAACCACTACAAAAATTTCAAGTCATCCCCGTCCCTGCCCAGAAGGGACAACTGCCCAAAGCCTTAACTGTCTCCAGGGCAAAAAATGCAAACTGCCTCCTATATCTTCTGGATGGAAAAAGCCCTGGCTGTCCCATACCGAGATGCCCAACCCTCCACTGACAACTTCAACATGCAGATATGCTTTTTCCTATACAGTTTTTTTGCAGCACTTTAACAATTGTGGAGCAGACTAAAATAAACGGATTTTGATGTCAAAATGAGCCGCGAGCCCCAGGAATATGGCACTGACTGTGTTATTAATTTCAGATTTAATTCAAGAACATCCGGTTTGGAAATTATTTCTCTGCCACAGAAATGGGGGGCTTGTCCCAGAGCTGAGGTCTAGCTGGGCACGGAGCACATGGAGCCTTGTTTCATTTCCATGCAGCGTGGCTACCCATCAAGGACGTTGTCACAGTAATCAGAGGTACCGTGCACACCAGGAGGAGATGGTTTATAACTTGCCACTGACGAATGTGCAGCATCACCAGATAGTGATCCACACATATGTGATAAAAGGGCAGCTGAACTGAAGACAAACACTATGTAGCAAGGACATCAGCCCAAGGTTGTGACTGGAAGGCTATCGAAAGCTCTTTCTGAACACAGCACCGGCAGCTTCTCTGGCACATAAAAATGTAAGAATATAAGAACGGCCAGACTGGGTCAGATCAAAGATCCATCTAGCCCAGTATCCTGTCTTCTGAGAGTAGCTAATGCCTGATGCCCCAGAGGGAATGAACAGAACAGGTAATCATCAAGTGATCCATTCCCTGTCACCCATTCCCAGCTTCTGGCAAACAGAGGCTAAGGACACCATCCCTGCCCATCCCAGCTAATAGCCATTGATGGACCTATCCTCCATGAACTTATCTAGTTCTTTTTTGAACCCTGTTATGGTCCTGGCCTTCACAACATCCTCTGGCAAGGAGTTCCACAGGTTGACTGTACATTGTGTGAAAAAATACTTCCTTTTGTTTGTTTTAAACCTGCTGCTTATTAATTTCATTTGGTGGCCCCTAGTTCATGTGTTATGAGAAGGAGTAAATAACACTCCTTATTTACTTTCTCCACACCAGTCATGATTTTATAGACCTCTATCATATCTCCCCTTAGTCGTCTCTTTTCCAAGCTGGAAAGTCCTAGTCTTCTTAATCTCTCCTCGTATGGATGCTGTTACATACCCCTAATCATTTTTGTTGCCCTTTTCCAATTCCAATATATCTTTTTTGAGATGGGGTGACCACATCTGCACACAGTATTCAAGATGTGGGCATACCGTGGATTTATATAGAGGCAATATGATATTTTATGTCTAATTATTTATCCCTTTCTTAATGATTCCCAACATTCTGTTCACTTTTTTGACTGCTGCTTCACATTGTGTGGATGTTTTCAGAGAACTATCCACAATGACTCTAAGAGCTCTTTCTTGAGTGGTAACAGCTAATTTAGACCCCATCATTGTATGTGTATAGTTGGGATTATGTTTTCCAATGTGCATTACTTTGCATTTATCAACACTGAATTTCATCTGCCATTGTGTTGCCCAGTCACCCAGTTTTGTGAGATCCCTTTGTAACTCTTTGCAGTCTGCTTTGGAATTAACTATCTTGAGTAGTTTTGTATTGTCTGCAAATTTTGCCACCTCACTATTTATCCCTTTTTCCAGATCACTTATGAATATGTTGAACAGCACTGGTCCCAGCACAGACTCCTGGGGGACACCTCTCTCCATTCTGGAAACTGACCATTTATTCCTATCATTTGTTTTCTGTCATTTAACCAGTTACTGATCCATGAGAGCATTGTTCCCTCCTATCCCATGACTGCTTGCTTTGCTTAAAAGCCTTTGGTGAGGGACCTTGTCAAAGGCGTTCTGAACATCCAAGTACACTGTATCCACTGGATCACTCATGTCCACATGTTTGTTGACCCCCCTCAAAGAATTCCAATACATTGGTGAAAACAACAAGGAGTCCGGTGGCACCTTAAAGACTAACAGATTTATTTGGGCATAAGCTTTCGTGGGTAAAAAACCTCACTTCTTCATATGCCGATACATTGGTGAGTCATGATTTCCCTTTACAAAGAACATGTTGACTCTTCGCCAACAAATCAAGTTCATCTATGTGTCTGATAATTCTGTTCTTTACTATAGTTTCAACCAGTTTGCCTGGTACTGAAATTAGGCTTACCAGCCTGTAATTGCCGGGATTGCCTCTGGAGCCTTTTTAAAAACTTGGCGTCACATTAGCTACCCTCCCGTCATCTGGTACAGAAGCGGATTTAAATGATAGGTTACATAGCACAGTTAGTAGTTCTGCAGTTTCACATTTGAGTTCCTTTAGAACTCTTGGGTAAGTACCATTTGGTTCTGGTGACTTATTAGTGTTTAGTGTATCAACTTGTTCCAAAACCTTCTCTAATGACACCTCAATCTGGGACAGTCCTCAGATTTGTCACCTAAAAAGAATGGCTCAGGTTTTGGAGTCTCCCTCCCAACCTCAGCTGTGAGGACCAATGTAAAAAATTCATTTAGCTTCTCTGCAATGGCCTTATTGTCTTTGAGTGCTCCTTTAGCATCTCGATCGTCCAATGGCCCCACTGGTTGTTTAGCAGGCTTCCTGCTTCTGATGTACTTAAACATTTTTTTGCTATTACTTTTTGGGTAATATGAGTTTGTCTACACCAGGGTGTGGAAAGGATGTGACATCATTTGCCATGAAGCCCACCTAGTTTCTTGCTTTCCTTATTTCCAGGAGTCTAAGGATTTCAATCCTGATGGCTAGATGCACAGAGCACTAGGTCAGAAGGGGGGTCAGTGTGACACTGGCAGGCCCAGTTCAGTATCCAGACTCTCATCAATGGGCGTTTACCTGTCTCTCAGGGCGTGGTTTCTGATCTCCTCCACTAGCTGGAAGACGCGGGAGAGCGGCGAGCGGAACACGTCCACAGCGAGGAAGTTCTTGTGCCATGGCGAGACCGTGGCTTTCACCAAGATCTGCTGGATGTAGGCCACGGGAGGGCCCAGGTACTGTGGGAAAGCGGGGGTAGAGAGAGAGGTGACCTTCTGGAGACAGCAGAGTCTGCAAGCCTGCGGAATGAGCGGGGAATCTCTCCTGCAAACCCTACAGCATCAATCCCTAAGCCTTCCTTCTTGCAGTCCCCTCTTTTGTGACGGATGGAGGACGGGTGCCCCACACATGTCCTCTTGTGCTACACCCAACCATGGCCTGTTTTCCTCCTCTCATTTTCTGGTTTCTTTCTAGCTTCATATTTTTTATTCCCTCGCGTTCCCCCCTCACCTGGTAGCGTTCCCATTCCTTCCCAGCAGGCTGCATGCCGTTTTGGAGTGGGTGTGGCCTCTGGTGGCCACACCCTTCGTGCTCTAGCAGCTGACCTGAGTGCCAGGGCTGAAGAGAAGCTTTCCTCAGCCAGCTGCAGCCTGAGCCTATAGCCCTGTACACACGAGCTGCTTCTGGGGCTGGCTGCACGGGAGCAACTGCAGGAGCCTGGAGGAAGGCAGGTGGCTTCAGCCACAGCCAGAAGAGCGGGGAGACCTTGATCTCCCAAAAATGTTCATGCACTTGGCAGCCTCTGCTGAAGAGAGGCCTTAGAGTGTAAAAGGAGGGGGCTGCAGGTCAGACTTGAGGTGCCCTGACAGAGCTGTGATGCGCCAAGGACTAGGATACCCAGGGATCCCGCAGGTCAGGAGGGAAAGGCATTGCAGAGCTATGCTGAGCCGGGGGAGGTTTTGGAACTGTCCCCAGCCTCCAGGAGAAGGGCTGTGGATACAGGCTGCTCATGCCAAAGAAAAGTCAAACTCTTACCCGGTACATTCGGACACCAGCAGCATTGATTTGCACGATCCTGGCCGATACAAGAAACCCTTGGCTTCTACCCAAGTCAGTGTTAACCCTTTGTTCACGCCTCCACTGCCAGAGCACAATGGGCTCATCACGCTGGGACAGTCACCCAACTCCGAGTGTGGCTGCTTAACCTCAAACGGAAAACACTTGGTTTTGCCCTTAAGAGGTAGGCGTAAATGTTGGAGATGAGACCCGAACTGGCAGCAAATGGCTCCTAGTTACCGCGGACGCTCCAGGCAGCTAGCCGAGCCAAAGGAGGGAACACACAGGATGTACTGAAGCGCTCAAGGCACAGGAACCGGGATCCACAGCCTTTCACCTCCAGGCCAGCAGTCTGATCCCAGCTCAGCTTGGCAGTGATGGGCCAGTCATTCCGTTACGGTGGCTGGTCAGTGGAGTAGGAGTTGTGAACTGGTTGGTAGGTCAGAGACCAAATCCCCACAGACAGGGGTACAGCAGTAAGTGACCCCCTGATTGGTAGCATCTCCATGGATGACAGCAGCAATATGGACTGGCTGAGCTCTAGTCTCATCCTTATGGGAGTGGGGGGGTCCCATGGCAGAGTTGAGGCATGCTAGCAGAGTGGGGGAGGGGAGGGGAAGCTTGCCCTGTCACTGCCCGCGTTGTCCCTGTTGGAGGGGAAGAACTGAGACCTTTTGTCTCCTGGGCTGTCAATCCAGGCCCGGGGGCAAGGATCAGCGTTCATGTCGCGCTCCCCGTCAGTCCCTGGCCCAGGCTGGGGAAGCTAAGGATGCAACCAGTGAACCAAATTCGGTGCTGAATCCTGGTCACGTGCTACCGGTGGGACATTGCACATACACTAAGAAGAATCCAGCACCTACCACTAGCACTAAATTGACTTAAAACAACTGAATAATAGTTGTGAAAAAATGCAGCAAACAAAATGCAACACTTGACTCAGGATACAGTTCTCTGTCTCCCCTTGGACAGCAGGCTCCCGCTGAACAGCGTTTGAAAGCTTTTACCCACCCACTCTGAAGGCCCAGAATTGGGTCTCCTGACAGCACTCGAGTCGAACGACAGGAGCACATTAGCCCTGAATTTAACAGCCAGGCGAGGTGCAGAAATTACAAGGCACTTCTTCAGTTCACTATATTAAGGTGCAAATAACACCAGAGTGAACTCCCCACCGCCCCCCTGCTCTCTCTCTCAGGTGCGCGCGCGCACACACACACACACGCAAAAGACCTACCCAATCAGGTCTCTCACTAGGATCTCCTTGCTGGTGGCCTGGCTCTGAAGAAGGTGGTGAGTAATCCTTCACCGGAGTGCTGTACTCCACAGGTCCTGTTCCAGGCAAGGGGAGCTTAAGCAGCGGGTAGCTAAGATTAAGACACAAGCAGGAAGAATTATACATTTAAGCAAGCCCACATTTTACTGCATGTCACACACTGAAATGCACTGGACCCATCAGCCAACCTTGCCAAGGACAAGGAGATGCGTGGGGGACTTTTTCCAGGTTACCAGTCTGAATCGGACCCAGCACAGTAATATCCAAAAGCTGATGCCCTCTGCTGGCCTCTTTCTCTGTGTCTACACGGGGATAACAAATGTGCAGCTGGCTCACAGGTCTTGGACTCCGGGGCTGAAAAATTACTGTGTAGACACTTGGGCAAGGTCCCAGCGGTTGGGCTCCAGCCCAAGCCTGAACAGCCATTTTTAGCCCCACAAGCCTGAGGCAGCTGACATGGGTCGGCCATGCCGTGGGGCTTTTATCCCCATGTAGACATACCCTCTGAGTTGGTGGCTTCAGTACAGTTCCTGTTAGATGGATTTGTGCATCCCTGCCAGCCCTTTAGTTGGCAGTCTTGGGGAGAACTCAAAGAATGAATGGGCCATGCAGCTGAACCACCCTCTGAACCATCAAGCCATCTCCCCTGGGCAGGTGGGACAGCTGAAACATAGTGAGGATAACAGAGGGTCCTGTGGCACCTTTAAGACTAACAGAAGTATTGGGAGCATAAGCTTTCATGGGTAAGAACCTCACTTCTTCTTCTTGCATCTGAAGAAGTGAGGTTCTTACCCATGAAAGCTTATGCTCCCAATACTTCTGTTAGTCTTAAAGGTGCCACAGGACCCTCTGTTACTTTTTACAGATTCAGACTAACACGGCTACCCCTCTGATAGTGAGGATGTGGAGCTAGTGGAAGCAGATTTGTGTTTTTCCTTGAGGGGGGAGTTACAGTCACGAGTGCTGTAGTTTTGCAGTTAGGGAGAGACAGTTGAGCAGCTCGGCAGAGAGACAGCAGAAAAACTGAACTGCTTTTAAAGTCCTGAAAGTTAGCAGTGTCAGAGACAGATTAAGGTGCTCAGGCAGCCAGCTCTGGCTGGCTACTCCACAGTCTGTGAACCCTGAAAGCAGACACCTCTCACAGAGTAAGGATCCACCAAATGCACTTTGCATGGGCCACATTCCTGAATAACCAAGAGATGGTAACTACTTTTGATCACTCCTGATCCAAGCTGGATTCAAAAGGCCCCAGGTCTTTCCAAATAATTGACATCCAGCACCATCCCTGTAATTTTCCAGGGCTGGCACTCAAAGGCCTGTCTCCAGTGTGGTTTGAACCATATCTGACACTTGCCACAAACTTCACTGGTCTCGAAGGCACTGTTAATGGTGGATTCTGAGACACCAGACCATGAAGTCATGTCATTCTTATTACCTTCTTGCCCCCTTGCAGCTGCAATTTTGGTGTGATTGTAGCAGCTGGTAACCTATTAACCCTTCATATTAGAGATTAATGCTTTATAACACTTGAAAGCTGAGAGGCCCAGCTTTCAGACAGTAGAGAACATTTTCTTTTTAGCTCTAGATGTTCTTTAGGTTCTAAAATAATGTTAGAATCGAACTGGGGGGAAACACTTGAGCCAAAGGGTTGGGCCCCACCAATGCTAGAAGCTATTAAGACAGGATTCCTGGTTTTCCAGTGGCATACAGCCTGGCTCTGTAGCCTTGTTGGTTCACAATATATCAGATCTTGAATTTGTCACTGGTCCTTCAAACTAGCAAAGCGTTTTATGGCAGTGATCCCAAGCGAACTATAAAGGTCCTGGACCAATGCCATTTTCAATCCCTGTAACGATTAGTGACACAGTAATCAATGCAATACCCACTTGGTTTATCCGTGGGTCTGTTAAGAGTCTGGCAACACTGGAGGTTACTAAGGCTCGAAGTTTCAGAGGGCAGGGTGAAGACAAGTGACAGAAGATGAGGTTTGAAAAAAAACAGCAAATTGAAAGAGGACAAAGAGTGATGTGACTGGTTAAAGTGGGTCAGCTTTTCTGTTTTAATATTCCATACATTTTTAATCACTTGACAAAACACAATGGCCAGGACACAAAAAGGTCTGACCCAGACTATGACAAGTGGATCAGGGGAGGAAGAAGTAAATACATGCTACAATGCATCGGGATGAGAACCTACAGTACAGGCCGCAATTTTGGAGACATAGTTGCAGCAACTATTTTTTTCTGGGATGTGATTACCTGCTTTTGTCCCTTTTCTACATAAGTCAGTGGTCCCCGAACTTTTTACCTCGCACCTCCCTTACCCCCGAACCCCCCATTGCCCGCCACCCGAGCCGGGGTCGGGAGCAAGACCGCGACTCCGGGAGTGGGGGACGCGCGCAGGGTAAGGGGGCTGAGGCTGGGGCCACAGCTGAAGGTGGGGGTGGAGCTGGAAGCGGAGCCCTGGGCATGGGGCCGGCAGCCAAGCTGAGTGGCACTCCCTCCCCACCTCCTGTGGGGCTGGCCTGGGCCCCAGCCACGCCCCCCCCCAACGTTCCTCTGCACCCCCCAAGGGGGCACGCCCCACAGTTTGGGGTCCTCTGACATAACGTCTAATAACTTGGAACATTCAAGCACCTGCACAGAACACGAGATCTAGTGAGATCACGGCCAAGGGGGTATGCTTTCATTTCACAGAGTAAACTGGTTGGCTCTGAGATGGGCATTACTCAAAGGAAGGCAAGGGGCTGACTGACAAAGCAGGATGGGCCAAGAGGAGGACTGTTCTATTAAGAAGTGATTACTGATGCCTGAATAGCATCTACGAGTCCAGAGGTCTGACGATGATCCAGCGTAGCCACAAACGCTTCTGATTCACACCAGTAGCCCACCTACAGGGGCACCTCCCCACGTAGCCACTTGGGAGATTTAAAAGCCAGATATATGTTCATTCATGTATCTTAGCTCATTTAAAATTAGGTGCACTGAACGCAGAAAGCGAGCGTGTTAATGAGAAGGACGTTGCTTATGACTAATGAACAGCTGTTCAGCAGTGCACACTTTGAAGCCCGTCTCATCCCTTCCCTGGTTAAAACTCTACTGCTCAGGACTGTGATCTTAACAGATAAAACTTAGCAAGGTCCAGACTGGCCAGTGCTTGGATGGGAGACACAAGTGCTGCAGGAAATGACGATGGTGATTCACGGGGTGACCTTCCTAAAGAGTCCATAGCACTGTGCCCCGACTCAGGGTGTTTGCCCCTGCTGTCTCGGACAAACGCCTGGTTGGGGCATTATATTCCATAGATAAATCTTAACCCCCTGCTGCTTCCGCTGGTCAGAGAATTCTTCCTCACTTCCTGTCCTACAGCACTGTGGGCAGTTCCCTGGGCAGCGAGAGAAGTTCCTGCATTCCAAGTTGTGGGGTGAATCCTATACAGTGTGTAAAGCACTTTGGGAGCCGTAGGCCATGAGAAGTAGCGCTATCATTATAAATATACAAATAAGGACATGTACCGTCCACACAGGCTGATTGGTCTCATCCTCTCCCCTCCAGTACCGCAAGATGCAGCTACTCCTCCACCCCCTGCACGTGACCCCATCTCCCAGATTCCTTTGAGCTACTGCTTTTAGTCCTTCCAGGGATTCCTAGTGGAGCTCTTGATCCCGGCATATGTGGAGGGGTGCTCCAGTCTCCCTGCTCCCTTAGGGCCTGTTCGGAAGGAGACCTTCTCCTTCCCTCATTGCTGGGGAGGGGCAGGCTCCGCTCTCACCCACCAGAGGAGAGTTTTGCTCTGTCTCTCCCTCTTGCCCCTGTGAGGAGGGCACTAGCGTTGTTCAGTGCCTGCCCGATACTGGATGTTTTGCTTCCTTGTGTTCTGGGAGAGCACCGGTGTGATGGGTATTCCAGTCACTTTGCATATGGTGTGGGAAGAGCATGGACAGTGCTGACCAGAAGCACCCGGCAATGGAATGGCTGCTAAGAGGGACCAGTTTATGACCTACGGAAACCCACCGGGGGGCTATGCCCCAGCCTTTGAGAACTACCGACTGAGGCAATGAATAAAATTCTGCACTATAATCCATATGGCAGCCAAGATAACAATGTTAAAGGAACGTTACGGCTGCCAAGTAACTACTCAGAAGTTAGGAAATTACCAAATTAAGGTTGCCGTTGCAACCTGAAGTCAACTCCCTGGTGCACATACATCATCGTACAGGCTTCAAATGGCTGAGGGATGTGAGGCTCTACGCTCAACTTAACAGCATTCCTCTGCTCTCTCCTTGGGAACGCAAGGTGATAACTTCTGAACATGGGATCAGTCTGTAGGTCTAAGAGCTGGTTGATGGCCACCATTAACACCTTCCAGCATAACTACCACCCCCATCTCCACTCTGCCCAGAATCCCAAGGGAGTTTAACATGCTGACATATGAGGGACTTCTCTCTGCTTGGCCTTATGTTGTTCAGGGAGGTGGTGTGACTGTGTCCATGTCACAGCGTGGCAGAGGTGGCAGGAGACAAATTTGCCATGGACGCATGCAAAACTACTACGAAACAAGTTGACGTTGGTCAACATAATTTTGCAGTGTAGCCCAGGCCACAAAGAAATCATTTAACAAGTTACCAGTTACACAAACTGACCTATTTACATCTCTTCCTGAACTAGCGGGGGCCAGGAGGGTGGCACACAGGGAGCTTATGGGGACGGGGGGGGGGGAGGGGAATAGAAGGATGCAAGGAGCCCCTGGTGTGTGCAGTGAGCTTGGCCTTCAAAAGCTACAAAGTGTGTCCCCCTCTAGACACAGGTAGGCTAAGACAGGCGTAGTCACAAGGGAAACGGGCACAGAGAGCCCCTGGCATAGGGCAGAGAAGGGGAAGAGGGGGGCACACAGAGCTCCTGACATGGGGCAGAGAAGAGGAATGGGGGGGTCACAGAGCCCCTGGAATAGGGAGGAAAATAGGGGACCCTAGAATGGAGGACGAGGGAGCGCATGTGGGGGATAGGGGTTGTGGGAAGACCTTGAACTAGAGGGGGATGGGAGGGTGGCACACAGGGAGCTTGTGGGGGGAATGGAGGGATGCAAGGAGCC